TTTTCGCAATATCATTTTAGACCTTGGGTTGGTAACAGTGGCAAAAAATATTTGGGAAAAAACAGGTACAATACTGTAGAGGACGTCATAATGGGATACCCTCAAAATCTAGCATACCTCCTTTGCATATCTTGACACTGCATCTTAGCACTTTCAAAGAAAAATACTGTTTTTTGTATGCAGCAACCGCGAGCAGAATAGAGCCTCATAAATAAAATGTGGGAGGGTGTCCAAATCATATCCTTCCAAGCCACAAAATCATAAAACATTCATGCGTTTTTGTTGTTGTATTGGTTCCCTTCTGTTCACTAAAGCTGTGAATCACAGTTTCGCAACTTTTTTCAAAACACACGTTGCGCAGTCGTGTTTTGAAATCGCTTTGCCTTCACCTTCTACAAAAAACTTCCCGCGCTACTTAGATCATTGGTTTTCAAGGTTTTTCAGAGGGCCCGCAGGGTTTAGGGCATCCTCCTGTAGTTGCGAGGACTTCAAGTGTCCAAGGCACAGGGTCAGATGCATCGGTGGGACCAGAGATGGGCCGAGTCTGAGGAATCACACACATATCACACATTGGAGGGACCAAGGATCAAGGATGAGAGACCGTTGTGGGCGGGCACTGACCAGGCTGCGACGCAGCAACCCAAGGCATATCGTGGAGGAGTTCAGGTGTCACCTGGACGTGTTCCATCACCTTAGGGGAGTTATAGAACAAAAAGGCGAAGCCCGCTTCAGCAGCCGAATTAGCGTGAGACTTTGTGAGCTCCCAACCGCAGAAGCTGTTGGGTTTCAATTTCTGCAGGCACGGTGAACCTTGTCTACCACTTTGTCTCCCACTTTGTCCCTCACTCTGTCTTACAATTTGTTTCTCAGCTGGTCTCCCACTTTGTCTCCCACTTTTGTCTCCGACTTCGTCTCCAAGTTTGTCTTCCACCTTGTCTCCTCCTTTGTCTCCCAGCTTGTCTCCCGCTTTGTCTCCGACTTTGTCCCCCACTGTGTCTCTCACTTTGTCCTTCACTTTGTCGCCTATTTTGCCTCCCAGCTTGTTCCACTTTGTCTCTCACTTTGTCACTTTGCGTCCTGTCTGTGACTTTGTCTTCCACTTTGTTGCCCACTGTGTCCTCAACTTTATGTGTTGTTTTGTCTCCACTCTGAGGGTCAAAATGTGACCCAAACATGTATGAATGCCTTCCAACCTTGAATTTGGACCTTTCACTGTTGTTGGGTTGCAAAGCTGGGTGCATGATGTTAATGTATATACATAGGAATGCACACAGCAGGGAATTGATACAGGAAACCTTTTATCTCGGGGCTGCATTTGTTAGAATTTGTTCTGCAGGTTTGACATTTTCACACCAATTCATTTAATTTCATGCCGGAGTCCTTGTTGAATTCAAGTCTACAGTGCCATTATCATCCAGTTGCCGGTTGCGGTAAATACCAAAATTTTGTGCTGTTTGCCACTGTGGCTCATTGACGTATTTTATCCTGGTCGAAGGCATCCCACACAGAAATTGAAGATATTTGTGTATCCCACTTGGAGGATCTTGGAGGTATGTAGCTCACAGTGTTTGCATCGGCTGCTGTGCAAAGTACAGTCGCTGTCAGTTGCTCTCTTTGTGGCCTGATGCGACTTTTTGTTGTCAACTGTTTTCTGCTTCAGCAACTTCAATACATGCCAATATATGAGCACATCTGAGTGCAGAGTTGTGCGGAGTAGATAGGGCACACGTCAAAGCATTTGGTGTTGGCATGTGTTGTCCCAATGGTGACTTGATCTGACGTGGAGACTTGTACCCTCCTTACAAATTCTCCAGCAGTTCAAAGTGCCGCTTGCGACGTTGCAGGAAAGTGCGGCAAAGGAGTCCATTGTGACTACTGCCACTTCCGTCACCCAGGCCATGAGAGAGTACCAGCAGATCGCTTTTAAAATCCATTTAAGAACTAATTTGCCATTGCGCTGCCGTCTCATACACGGTCCTGCAACACCATGTACACATGGCACTCAGCAGGGCCATGCTATCCCCCACTTTGGACTCAGATATCTACAGAGAGCAGCTCTTCTTAGATTGCACTACTTGTAGTGACGCAAGCTCAAAGTGTAGATCCACGGCTACTCAAACAACGAATGTACGGATGCATGCATGGATGGATGGAAGGATGGATGGATGTATGGTAATGTAATGTAGTGTCATGCAGATGCAGTGCAACATGCAATGCAATATGCAAGGCAATGCATTGTAATGTATTGTAATGTAATGTATTGTATTGTAATGTAATGTAATGTACGTATGACAATGTAATGTATGTATGGCAACATGACATAGTGTATACATTGCAATGTAATCTAATCGCATCCAATGGAATCGAATGGAATGGAATTAATGTGATGCAATCCAATGCAATGCAATGGCATATGTATATATATATACATATATATATAGAGAGAGAGAGAGATATCGGGTCGATGATTTCATCCGGAGTCGAACTTCGTGGAGTATCACAGAAGAAAACGGGGAGCAGGATCGAGAAGTGTAAGGCAAGATGACACAATCCTTTTTTGTCAGGACAGAAAAACAAGCGGATTCGCCCATCCAAGCACACTCGTTTGCAGATGAGAGCGACAACACAGAAGGCCAGATTTGCAAAGGGATCATGCTGAGCACATGCTGATATTCGTCAAAAGTTTGCAACTTCGGAAAAAGGTGCTCGAGTTTTAGAGGATGTGTATTCCTGAGTAGTGATGAATTATGTTGCTAGCAATTATAGTGTTGAGCATTGCTAGCAATGACAGTGTTGATTATTGAATGATTTGGTGAGAGACCACCTGGAAGATGCAGACGCTTGAGCCGCTCACCTGCAGTCATCAAGTTCAAATTTCTTTCTGTTCAGGAGGATGATGAGGATGGCGAGGACGACTAGTGCTCCCACACCACAAACAGGTTCGGATCCTGGCGATTCTAGATGATTCTAGTACATTTGACGATAGTGTGGTTTGACAAGTCCTTTCCTGCTGAGGGGGAAGCCAAGGGTGAGATTAATTCAAGTTCCTTTGTTGTCATTGTCCCAAGGTGCTGGAGCGATCTGGAGCGCAGGAGCAGATCAGTATTTGATTCTGAGAAGAAGCTTGCAGCCCTACTTTTTTCTTAACATTGGTACTTCACAAATGGAGTGACGCGAGGTCGCTTCCAACAGGCCGTGCAGATTGATACTCGTAACAGGTACTCTACAGGATTCTGCCGATTCTTTGTCTTTATTTACAGGCCATCGCAATCAATGGAGCCAATTGCTCTTCTTAACCACAAGTATGATTGGTTATATAGAGGCACATACGGTGTCGAGACATCCACAGTACAGTAGCGCAGGACTCCTCAAAGTTGACCATGTTCTTGGTGTACAGAATCCTGTTCGCAGATCCTTGCCACGTCGAAATTTGAACGTGGAATTTAAGACTGTTGGGTTTGGGAGGCCCCTGAGCTTTGGACACAGTCGAATCATAACTGGGTCTCGAAGAGACAAGCACCCCAACCGCAGCGAACGCTTGGAGCTAAAGGAATGAGGGTTGCTTTAACATAAGTTCCAGAGCACATTGGAGCCGAAGGCTGCAATCCAAACATGTTGACCAATGAAAGTTGGTGCTGATGCCCTTCTCATTCCACCATCCTGCCTTGAGTCTTTATTATAGATAGGCACTCCAAGCTGTTCCTGCAAAGGCTTACAGAGACAGCAGGTCCATTCCTGGTCGTGATAAATGTTTTTGTTGTAATGAAATGTGTTGTTGTCTTACAAAGATAGATTTTCAGATGTGCCGTGCCGGCCTGGATATTTGTTGGGTGCTTACTAAGCAAGCTTGTGTCAGTTTTTTGCCATGGGAGCACAACATCCTTTATCATGCACCCGAACCCTGTCTAAATGTGGCATTCACTCACTCAACCTGCGAACCATTTCCAAAAGGCAAGTGAAAACAAAAAAACGTCGCAAACCCTTGCCATCCTTTTCTTCGATATTCCTTTCAAACACTTGTTTGGTTGCATACGACGTCGTGGGCAGATGGACCACTGCAGGCTTTGAGATTTTTTGTGGCCAAAAGACTTGTAGAAAAATTTCAGCCTGCGATGCGATTTGCAGAAAAAGGAGTTCCAAGTGCAATGGGTGCAATGTGGAAGAGTGCCATGGCCACAAGACCAAACAGAAAGTTGGCAAAACCGCATAGAAGATGTATGTAATCGTATCATCCACTGGCCATCAACCCGTAGGGCAAATATCTTGTCAAATAGACGCAGAGCGCAGTCATGATCCCAATCACTAAGGCATACCAACCTTAGCGGACTGACTGCAAGAAATCAGTATCATAATTGTGCTTGTGTTTGGAGCAAGAGTAAGCCACTTTGAAGCAGCTTGACAGTGGCTCCAAATCCCAAGGTAGTGGATATATCTGGAGATATCTGAAGATATGTGCAGATATGATGAGCTATGTGGAGATATGTGGAGATGTGGGGAGATGTGTGGAGATGTCGTAATGGGGCGGTGATTTGCACAATGGGAAGGCGAAACGGTAAAATATTTTACGATGTGATGGAAGTCAGCACCAGCAGCCAATTCTTTCTGTGTTGCTGAACATGTTTTGTTATATCATGTTTGAGAAGGACGTTCCTTGGAAGCGGCAACCATTTGGCAAAGCGCAACAGTTTTCTTTTGACACTTGTGATTTCAAACCTCAGATGAATTGTTGCCATTTATATCCATTTATCGTCATTCATTCTCCTCTTACCAAAGTTCGGAGTGCTGTAAGAGTCATGCGGGCATCTTGCCATTAGGTGTGCCTCCAGGGGAGTGCTTTGGGTCATAGCCTCAGTCGCAACTGCAACAGACATAGTGAATAGATTCGCAATATGGTTCTATAATGTTTGAACATGTTTGAACACGTAAAAATAGTAAGAAACTGGTCGAACTGTGAAAATGCAATACATGTTTGTCCAACATGAGACGGGCTCCAGCGAAAGGCTCTTGGGGGTCAACGGTGCTGGAAAGACGACAACAATGAGAATGATCACAGGACACACGTCAAATCACGTCAATAAAGCATGCTAGAAGGCTTCTACTATCTTCTATTTAGAGTCCAAAGTACAGAAAAATGACATATCTTTGCTAACGGTACAGCCAGCCAGCGGTTTAGTAAAAGATTCTTGGCTGCCTTGTCGTTCAAAGCTGGAAGCTACGCCTGCTCAGATTGAAAAATTGCTTCGTTGACAATAGTCGTTGCAGAGGATACGTTCAGGCATATCTAAGATTATGAGTATATTTGTCTTTGACTCTGCCCGGCTGCAGGAGACACAGATGTGACGAAAGGGGATGTGCTCGTAGGTGGTGCTAGTGTCCAGGCGGATCGGATGGAGTACTGTGGCAACCTTTGCAGCTGTCCAGGCAGCGCTTTGCATTTGCTGTAATCAATGTGTTTATTATGACAGCCAGTGACCCGCTCCCATGTAATTTTCATTAATTTTCCAATATTTTCCAACATTCCAAGACTTCAATCATCTTGAGTTAAGATGACGGGGTCAACGGCATGTTTCATGGCACTCGCAAATAAACAGTCCACAAAGATTAGCAGGGACAAAAACATGGCCCAAGGCGCGGCATTGCGATATCGGTAAACAGTGCTTAGAATTGTAGTGGCTTCGGGCAACCTATGGCAGTGTTCTCAAACTTTTGTTAGAGCACAGATACATCCAGATTGCAGCTAACTACAACTCACCACACAGCACCCAAACGCCAGATCCAGACCCCTGATTTTCCAATTCAAATTTGGCTCCACCTTGTGGGATCTGTGTATCCTGCCTTCTCTTCTTACACAACGGGCATTTGCTCAATTTTGCTCAAGGCACAGCGTGATGCAGCACGCCGGCGCTTGGGCTACTGCCCCCAGTTCGATGCTTGAAACTTAGAATTTAAAGATATTTAAAGCAGGTGTCGCAGGTGTCGCAGGTGTGGCAGTCGCAGCTTTTAGACTCACATGTTTATCATTTTTCCTTGACAGACTGGACAGCTGATCCGGAGCTGCTTTTGATTCCACAAACTTGACACTAAGGAGTTCACTAAAGAATCTCACCTAGCATTCATCTCTCAATATATCTCTCAATATATCTCAATATCTGAAATTCAGGGAAGCTGGAGAATAGTAGGGTAGCTAGCAAGAAACAGAACATTGAAAAAGCATCGCCAGCAAAGCTTTAGAACAAAACATGTTGACTGAGCCGCGCTGCTGAGGCCATCCCTGACAAGCTGACAGTGCGAGAGACCATTCAGCTTTTTGCCAGGATTCGTCAGACGCCTAGACTAGGCTCCACTAAACCATCTCTGATCCTAGTCCAGCGTATTGAGCAGGTCCAAAGGCGCAACGCTTCTATTTGCTGGTATCCCCTGGTCTTATTTTCACTGTAGGAAGTGAAGTTGCTTCAACAAGACTCTGCCACTTGAGACGATGGTGTTGATTCGAGCAGAAATGTTTGCAAGATTCACATATTATGCGCTGACCCAGTTCAAAACTGAGAGGGTCTTGACCACATTTGAAGTTGAAGTTGACAACTGTTTTCTCACCGACGTTTCTAGAATTACCGTGGAGGAATTGTGAGAGTTTGAGATTTGTGTTGCTTTGAACCTGGAATGAAGACTTGAACCAAATGACGGCATTTAGATGTATTTACAGACTTTTACACTAGATGGTATAACGATTCTGTACGTGCGCTTGGTTTTCAGCAGATGAGAAAGACCAGCTCATGGCAACTATATGTCACATTATATCACCATCAATTGAAAACTGAAGAATATCGTGAAAGCTAGCTAGCTGAAGTTGCTTGTGCTTTGGAAAATTATAATTATATGGCAATATATGGCAGCGCCCCCCCCCTCTACCGGTGTCATAACCACATGGTCGCGGGCTCAAATCCGGAGTGTGCGTGAATCCACCCCCAGGTCCCTGAACTATAGGCTCACATGATATCTGCGGCCGCTAGGCCCGCTAGGCGCATTCTTTTATAACTAAACTTTAACCCTCCTACGGACTCCTACGTATCCATACTTGGTACTTCGGCGAAGCCTCCCTCCCCCAGCACAACAGCACAACACCTTCTTTGCAGCTGCCTAACCCATACTGTAGACATTGCCCGCTGATTCTACTTCCCCTGCTAGATTTCGTCACCTACCCCTGGCCTCAAGTGCTTGCTCCGCAGAGTGCTGTTGCAAAGTACATGCAAGTAGACATATTTCTCGGTCCAGCAATGCAAGCAGACACGACTTTCGAGCTAGCGTTCCATTGGGGAATATGGAAAAGGAATGACTTAGGCATGACTTCTTGGAAACTGCGTTTACATGGGCCGAAGGGCTCCGATCAGAGCTAGGCATGACTTAGGAATGACTTTGTCGTTTACCTGTAGTTCACGTTCAACGGCGACTTGAACGAAAAAAGATATATATATATATATACATATAGAAAACATAATTTGACACTCGCACGGGCGAGCCGTTTGTGCTTCAGCACGGTAGAAAACGAAGGTGCAAAACGAGAACTGTGTTTTGGCATACGAAACCAAAGAGCGGCAGGTGGCATTCCCAGGGCAGATGTGGTGAATGTTGCAGACAGCATGATTGCGCGGATGTGCTTGGAGGCAGCGGTTCCTTGCCCTTCGCATGCTCTGCACATTTCACTAGCCGAAGTAGGTTGATTTTCAATGTTTTTCAGGTTGTGATATACTGCAATCATATGATATGCACGCGAAGATTGCAGCGGATTGCCTTGCCATCGAAGTGGCTCTTGCGATGTTGTTCTTACGACATGTTCCAAGAGTCTTGTTACTGTGTTTGTCTTCGAGCATGTAAAGAGGGGCCATCGCATGAGTGCTTGCATACTCATTCTTATCAGCAATAACATACAGTAGTGTGCCGTATGCAGCAGCAGACCTAAAGATATACTCATATGTTTGATTGCGATTGAGTATATCCAGCCGTAAAAAGTTGTATTATATATGTTGTATTGTTGGGCCTTGACTGCTTGTTCATGCGAATTAGCTCGCAAGGACGGGTGGATGGGAGAGAACCATGTTTGGTAGCATGGGCACATGATGAAAGCCCCTGCATTGCTGGATTTTTTGACCGTGACCAGATGATTTGTGGGTTTCCTGAATGAAAAGCCCTTGAAGTTCAACAAGCAAGCATGCTGCAAGCGTGTTGGCAGATACTTTATAAATTAACAGATGTTGACATATGTGGACAGATATTGACAGGCGCATGAGAAACAACTTTGTGAATACCTCTCTGGTGGCAACAAGCGGAAGCTCTCCACAGCAGATGGCTCAGCTTAGATTTGTTCCAAGCTGAGAGCGCAACTCATGCATCTTTACATTTCATATGTTGCAGATTTTCGCAGAAAAGTCGATGAGCATTAGTCACCAAAGTTCGCATGCCTGAGTCTTCTGCGCCTTAGCAATCTTTAGCATATATGTTTCTTTCTGCGGCAAAGGAGGGCACGGGAGTGGTTTCAAAGGAGGGCACAGGAGTGGTTTTATTCTTTATCATTATAAAGGGATTCTTCACTGCGCACCCTCTAACCGTATTGTCGCCGCTTCAAATCCCAGTGTCTTGATGCACTTCGTTGCTGCTGCTGCTGCTGCTACCAATCCAAAGATTTCGGAAGAGGTTGTTGCACGCAATTTTCTGCGTTTTTCCTTGCCCTGCAATGACTTAGATTTTGGGCGCGTTCTTTTGTCAAAGGAAGTTGGGAAGCAATCTTCCAAGTTACGGATGAAGTGTAATGCAGTAACAATACATCACATAATAATACATCACATAACAAGACAGACATCACATAACAATACATTACACAACAATACATCACATAACAAAACGTCACATAACAATACATCACATAACAATACATCATATAACAATACATGACTCAACAGTACATCACAGAACAATACATCACAGAACCATACATCACATAACAATACATCACATAACAATACATTGCACAACAATACATTTACAAGACAATACATCACATCACAATACATTACGTAACAATAATCACACAACAAAACATCACACAATGGTACATCACACAACAAAACATCACGCAACAATACTTCACACAACAATTCATTACATAACAGTACACTACATAACAATAATCACATAACAATACATCACATCACATAACAATACATCACATAACAATACATCACACAACAATACATCACAGAACAATACATCACACAACAATACATCACAGAACAATACATCACACAACAATACATCACAGAACAATACATCACACAACAATACATCACATAACAATACATCACACAACAAAACATCACATAACCATACAGTACAAAACAATACAAGTCGCACTGTAATGGCTGCACGACTGTTGCATGGGCTATGTTTTGGGGAGGAAGCCGGAGCACCAAACATTGTGTTTTTCCGTGTAAAGTGGCTGCAGGCGATGAAGGGCAGCTCGTGTGTGCGGCAGGTGCGGGCGCGCTCGTTTCGACGCGTCATCGGTTCTTCCATGGTGTTCTGATGTGTTCTGCAGCGCGTGGATGCAAATCGCATTGTAATGGCTGCATCAATGT